CGATTTTTGGACACGGGAAGAGAGCAGCGAGCGATCACGGACGCTCTGCGCATGCACAACGCTGTCTTTCCATTGCAATACCAATTCTTTGGGCAAGCGACAGCAGCACACATGGCTGTCAAGCTATCTGCGCGTTCTTTCCTGACCAAGACTCCCTATAAGCCCTTCGAAGTATGTTTTTTTCAGGCAAGAAATGCAGCAGCGAGCGCTGCCGACCGCCCTGCGCATGCGCGCTCTCCCCTCCCTCTTGCAGTACCGATTTTCGGACACGCGGTGGCAGCAGCGAGCGCTGTTGGCCGCCCTGCGCATGCGCACTCTCCCCTCCCCCCCCTTGCAGCACCGGTTTTGGACACACGGTGGCAGCAGCGAGGGCTCAGGATCGCTGTGCGCATGCGCGCTCCCCCCTCCCTCTTGTAGTACCGATTTTCGGACACGCGGTGGCAGCAGCGAGCATTGCCGACCGCTCTGCGCATGCGCGCTCCCCCTCCCTCTTGCAGTACCCTATTTTGGACACGCGGTGGCAGCAGCGAGCGCTGCCGACCGCTCTGCGCATGCTCGCTCCTCCTCCCTCTTGCAGTCTCGAGTTTCGGACACGCGAAGAGAGCAGCGAGCGATCACGGACGCTCTGCACATGCGCGACGCTGTCTTTCCATTGCAATAAAGTTTTTTTTCGGCAAGCGGCAGCAGCTTGCATCGCTGTCACGCTCTGCGTATGCACAATGCTGTCTTTCCATTGCAATAGCAATTCTTTGGGCAAGCGACAGCAGCACACATGGCTGTCAAGCTATCTGCACGTTCCTTCCTGACCAAGACTCCCTTAAGCCCTTTGAAGTATGTTTTTTTTTTTAGGCAAGAAATGCAGCAGCGAGCGCTGCAGAGAGCTGTGCGCATGAACGCCCCCCCCCCCCTTGCAGTACCGATTTTCGGACACGCGGTGGCAGCAGCGAGCGCTGCCGGCCGCCCTGCGCATGCACGACACACTCTTACCAGTGCAATACCAAACTTTTTTGGCAAGCGGAAGCAACATGCATTGCTGTCAAGCAATCGGTACATTCCTTCCTGACAAATACGCTCTTAATCCCGTTAAAGTATGGATTTTCAGGCAAGAAATGCAGCGAGCGCTTCAGAGGGCATTGCGCATGCGCTACCCCCCCCCCCACACACCCACACCCACACCCACACCCTCTTGCAGTACGGATTTTCGGGCACGCGGTGGCAGCAGCGAGCGGTCCCGAAATCACTGCAGCAGCATGCATCGCGGTCACCCTCTGCTTATGCACGACACTGTCTTTCCATTGCAATACCGATTCTTTTGGCAAGCGACAGCAGCATACATCGCTGTGTGTGATCTATGCATATATGCATACATACATACATGAGTGTGCCCTCTCACAAAGTGCTGTACCGCTTTTTCAGTTCCCGCAGGGAGCAGTGAGCCCTGCGTCCCATTGTGCGAGCCTTATCTCGACAGTACCGCAACGTGGGCATCCAAGGGCAGCAATGAGCACTGCGGGCGCACACACGGCGGCCCCGCTTCAGCTGCCGTCCTGGCTCTGCTCGTGCGCAGGCAAGCACAATGCGCCCAGTTCGTGCCTCGGCCCTGCACACACGTCTCATCCCAACACACATGTCCCATCTCGTTGCAGTTCTGCCTTTTGGGCAGGGCTGAGGCTGCAGCAGGCCTTGCAAGGCTGTGGTGTCAACTGCAGATGGAGGGTGGCAGCAAGAGCAGTGCCACGCAGTGCATGTGCATCGAGACATATGCAGAGCTCCCATGTGCGACATGCACCCTCCCCTTGCCATGCTGCTCGGGTCTCACTTTGGTAAATCCTCCTTTATAAGAACTTGTAAAAATCAAGTGCTGACTGTCTATCACCAGTAGTTCCCTTGACAACACATGACAACAGGACAGTGTTCGTCTTCCCCAATGGCATGAGCAAGGATGGGATGGGTTCACCAGCTGCACCAGCAGCGGAGGAACAGGGGAGGCTGGGGCACAGGCCCAGCACCACCTCCCAGGCTGCCCTTCTCTGCTCACACCACCCTCCCCCAAAACGGCTTCAGCTGATTTGGTACCGTTCCTGGCCTCTGACCTTCTCAGTCAGCACCCAGCACACTGGCCTTTCCTTCATTAAAAAAGCATTGACATGTATGGAAGACAACACATTTGTTAAAGACAGGCTGATAAACAGGGGTAGAACAGCACTCTGGCAAAACTGTCTACTGCCACTGCCCTGCAAATTGTTACTGTACTGCCCAACATGCATCACTTTCAAGTGGCCACATCACTTTTAAGTAAGTGATAAAAAATGAATTATTAAGAAGACTCCTTAAGTCCAAAATACTCTATGTAACTTATCAGCCACTGGTGCTTCTGCTCTTCAAAAACTGGCAAACATTCAGTTCCAAGTTATCTTCCCTCTGCAGCTCTAGAACACATGTAGCTGTCTCTTCTTCTGGTGCCCAAGGTATTTGGAATACTAAGTCAAGGATTCGACCTTATTCCAAGGCTTTTGGCTATATCCCTTCAACACCATCTTCACTGCTGGAGCTTGTACTGCTTGAGTTTGAGAGCTGGGGTACTGCAAGTCTTCATTCCATGGCTAGAAACCATTCCCAGAACTCTTTGTGAAACGTCTTACTTCCTTGAGCCAATAGTTATAAATTTAGTAGTTCAGAGGTTAAGGTTTGTAACTCTCCCAAGAAAATGCAGGTAACATATCCATAGTTGTATTAGACAAGTACCAGGCAGTAAAATTTCAACCTCAAAGAAACAACAGTCACTTCAGGTGGCTAGGTGAGACATTCAGTAGTAGTATCAAATGTGATTCACCATACTAGGCTTCCAAACAGATGTTTTACGCTCCTGCTTCCCTTTCCTATGGTTTATGCTTTTTTTTATGCTTTTTCTTTTTTGCCTTTTTTTTTTCTCTTGCCCCATAGGAGCAGAGATGATCGGAGCAAATTCACAGGTGATAGTATACATAAGTCCACCCAAAGAGCTTGTAATCCATCCTTATTTACAGTCAAAAAGTACAGATGAACTGTCCTGGAGACCTGTGCTAGTTTAAAGTTTTACTTTGTGATCCAGATGCCCTCAAGCTTAGGGCATCTTAGCCCTTTAGCTTGTAAAAAAACTCATGAGCATTCTAAAAATAATTTTAAAAAGATTTAAAGCACAAGCCTTTCAGGTTTGTATTTGAAGACCCAGAGGTCTTCTGGCATTCCAAAATTAACAGTAATCATTAAAACCAGTATGAAACAAAATAGTTTTCATTGAAAATCCAAGATGAGAAGTACTTAAAATGAGAAATTAGCTATTTTGTACTGGGCCACCTGTCTCCAAGCTGGAGAAAAAAAATCCACCATCTATCAATCAATTTCCAATCTAATCAATCAAATTTGTATCTGTCAAAATCTGTCAACTCCAATACCGAGAACATGGCATTCTAGAAGTAGAGGCACAACCATCCACTAAAGGATATGTTGTTACTTACTTGTTGTGTAAAGCAGCAATAGTAGTAATATCTGAAAACACATAATGCCAGTCTCATTAACTTGAGAAGGTATATATGCAGAAACATTTTTAGAGAATTACAGCAGTGTCAAGGACTATGCATTATACACTTTATTTTAAAATAATTTTGTTCAGAGAAAAAAACCCCAGCTTTAAAATAGTCTCGCTTGGTGGAGGGGGATTAAGTTTCATATAAAACCAGTGAGAAAAGCCATTCAGTACAAGTAAGAAAAAATCCACTTAATATACACTGTGATACCCTCATCTACAGTAGTCAACAATTCAAAGAAAAGCAATATAAAAGTTTTTTTGTCAAAACATCATTATGCATTTTGAAGATCTATTCCATTAATCATAGTATGAACAAATACAAAGAAAAAATGACAAAAATTCAGAGCTTTCTCAAGAGCTCTTAAAGCCATAAAACTAAAGAGAAACTATTAAGTTTGTCCTCTAGGACAAATGATGTTTGAATAGAACAGGAAGGCCTGAGAAGAAACTTATGGTACACTACCAACCATATTGTACACATACTTCACTATGGGGAGCAATAAAAACAGAACACACAAAATGTAAACCTTTGTATCATTTGCTTGTTCTAAAGGTGCATTGTTCTGGGAAGGGATGTTAGCCTGCAGATAAGAAAAGGTAGGCACCAGTAAAAAAAAAAAAAAGGCTCACAGATAGGATCGGTTTGTATTCATCATACTGCACAGTGATGAATCTGTGTCTGAAAATGCGTCTGATGAAAAGTGCCTGAAGATGAAGAAGTATCTCCCTCCTCCAGAGGGTACCCTGAAGCCTGACCATTTTCAGTAACACTTAAGCACCTGGGTTTTCCACTAGATGTTCTTAGCTGGTATTTCTCTGTGGGAGAGGGAGGCTCTCATGAAGATACTTCATGCTGCCCTGCTCTGAAAAGTCAGAAACAACATGACTATCCCCTCTCAGCAACCATTTTGTAGTCAGGAGTCCTTCAATTCCCACTGGCCCACGTGCATGGATACGGGAAGTGCTAATTCCAACTTCAGCACCTACAGGAAACAGAGGGTAGAGTGTTCTCAGAAGGTGTTTGCTTTTGAGCTACAGAGCTTTGCATCATTTTGAAAGATGAAGAATAGCCTTTTGTTGACCTTCCTTTCTTGGCTCTTCTCAAATCCCAAAAGTTATTCTTAGATATTCCAATTGAAAAGTGAGAGTAAGCAAAGTAGTATAACCTGTAATATTTATACTTCCAGATGCTACCACTTCAGGCTTGCTTTTAGAGAGAAATTAGATATGTCTGACATGCATCTCAGACTTCATCTCAGACTTGAGTCTTGAGAGATTATCCTTTAAGACAGTTGAATTAGTCAAATTTGTGGGTTTATGTCCTTTTACTAAGATTTTCAGTAAAGCTTTTTTTTTTTTTTTTTTTTTTTTTTTCCCCCAGCAAATAGAGCACTGAATGGTCCAGCTTTCATAGTAAGATCCCGCTACAGAAACTGTATGAATTTCTATGTCAGGGAAGGATGTTTCTCTTGCTTTTGCAACTCCCAATAGCTCAGCAGTGCACCTGTTCCTTTAAGCAATCAATGTTCAGTTGAGATCCTGCCTTTTCTTCCCCCAAGCTGCAGGGCTGGCACACTAAACAGCTTAATCTGCTCAGCAGGAACAAAGCACGACATTCTTTAGAGCATCAGTACAAAGAGGGGCAAGATGAAAACAGTTCACAAATTTCAAATACTATTGTATTTGTTCTATTACTATGTGCATGCACCATACTTGTTCCAAATCAAATGGAACTTCAAAGGAACTCTAAACACTTTTGTTGCTATTGCTAAATTAATCTAGATACTCTGTATAGCAGTATTAACTAGTTCCATCATAAAGAGATACTCAAATACCTGCTAATCTGCTTGGATGAAAAGTTCATGTTTCAATTTTTCCTACTGTATCTTTTCTGAAAATCTTATTTCAAGTAGTAGGATCAAAAGTAACTAATCCTATCTTCCAGGAGATCTGCACAGAACAGCAAACCCTACAGTCAAACCCCTGATGCATTTTCTCCCTTACCAAGTCCAAATCTATAACCATCAGAGAATCGGGTGCTGGCATTCCAGAAGACGCAAGCACTGTCCACATGTTGGAGGAAGAACTCTGCTGTTTTTTCTGAGGGGACAGAAGAGAGAAAAGACAAACAAAAAATACAACACAAAGCGAATGAGCAGATGCTTCAATAAACACCACATAATACAGTGAATGGATGTAACATTAGAAATGTAATACTTAATGCTTATATGTCAAATGTTTGGACTAAGTATGTTGATAGGTACTTTCTTCCAATATGCTTTTCAAGTAGACACAGCCTCATATGTTACAGGAAACTTACAAACAAAACTTAAACTTCTAAACTAAACTAAAACTAAAGTTTTAAGAAAGTCATAAAATGACTAATCCGAACTACAGTCTAGATTCTGTAAATGGGGATTTTTACATGACTGGGGAAAAAGCAGTTCCAAACAGTATTTTGCAGTCAAACTAACACAGAGTCAGCACTCCATTATCTGGAACATGCAGTTGTTCTAAATAATGAAAAATCCTAACATTGATATTAGAGATCATATCTGAGAAATGTAAGCAGAAATACCACTGCTTATTAATCCAGTTTAATACTAAACATGCAACACTTGGACAAGCCCATGCAGAGTTATGCAAGTCTTCATACTTTGAAGAGGCCTTTTGTAAGCATGAAAACCAACATTAAAGACCAGCTTAATTTCCAGTACACTGCTTTGCAAACCACTAGTGCGCTAGGTCCTGTGAGTTATGGCACTGAATGTATGCTTTTCAGTGACACTGTTCTAAGATCAGCTTATGATCTGTTTTTAAGAGCCTGATCTTAAGAACTGTTTTAAGGAGTTACAGAAACAAACTTGCACTGTCACTCTGATCAGTCATAGATAAACACAACCTAACTAATCCTGATCCTCAGGAATTCCACACTGGGACAGACTCATCCTTTGTCTGTGTGCAGCAATAACCAAGTTTTGACTTTGCACAGAATTCAAAGAGGACACACGCTAAAGATGGGAGCAGCTCACAGTTGCAGGCAGGAGTACAACTTCACAACATCAAAGGGGAAGAAAACCAGGAAAGATGGAGATAGATCTAGCTGCCATACTAGGGATGCAGAAATGGGAAATACAGGAACAGGAGAGGTTGGGATTAAAAACAAACAAACAAACAAACAAACAAACAAAAAACCCACAAGAGTTTATGATCTTTGTTTGCCAGACACAAACGATATTGGAAATGGAAGGCAATATAGTGCTAATAGCCTGATCCAACTATCAGGAGACACTCCTGACAAAACCCTCTGTTGAACTTGTACTGTTCAATATAGTAACATAAAAGCAACTTGCTTTGTAGGAATATGTGCTGAGGTCACCTGCTGGTCAGTCAACACATGCCTCCCTGTAGTGGAAAAAGCTGAACAGAATGGTCTTGTAGCTTTATCTGATAGGTCTCTAGTTAATCACACGTGCAGCAGAACCAAGTGGCACTATCGCAATATCAAATCAGTCAAATCAGAGGAGTAATGAAGCAGATTGGTCACTAACCATTCTCTGTGATGATAACATCTGTGTGAGAACTTCCATACTTGTGGATATGTTCAACAGCCTCTTGGACACTGTCCACCACCTCAATGCAGCACTCAAGGTCGCCGTATTCAGTGCGGAGAGATTTCACTTCTGAGGGGCTGAATGTTAAATAGGAGGCAAACTTTGGGCCAGCATGAATCTTCACCTGCAGTACCAGAAATATTTTGTACTGCTCATCATAACAATATCTTCCAGGTGAAAACATGGCTTATAAATCAAGCGTAAGCAGTGTAAGAAAACTTAGTCTATGTTTTGGGAAACTTAGTGGATCAGTGACCTAGGACATGACACTAGAACGGAAGTGCTTAATTGGCTACCTATCATAACATGCTCAGAGCTTATTTTAAGCTGTTTAAGCAATGACATCACTTCGGATAAGCCATCGGACAATACAATGCTAATACTAGCTAAGCAGCTATAATTTTGCATCCAGCCTTTATACTTACATTATAAATGAGACAACAAGTACAATGCAAACAATAATCACAGAAATGTTTCCAAGTTTGCAAACCTCACGCAAAGGAAACTTAGAAGCTTGACCTGCTTTGACCTCTCTTTTCCATAAACTGACATCAGCTGTCTTTGCAGCATGGGCTTCAGACCAAAATCAATTCAAAAAAGGAGATTCATATGGATATATCACACGTTTTATAAATATATAAAGCATTATTGAGCTCTGCATTAATAGTAGGTAGGACACCAGTACAATGAGAGAAGCAATAATACTTGAGAAATGAGAGAACAGAAAAATCCCCATGCAAGTGTGGATAAAGCAGAAAGGACAAAAGAAAGAAAAAAAAAAGCGGGGGGGCGGAATTGACTGAGGTAGGAAACTAAACAAATATGTTCATGAAAAACAGGCTTTGGGTGTGGGAGATTACCAGAAAAAAGAGTCAAAATCAAGAAGGGTGGATAAAGGGTTGTGTATATGCTCTTAGAAGATAAAATTTTGAAGAACCTGTATCTTAACAACAGTACACAGATATTCCGAAGAAGACAGGTTGTGTGAAGGTTGTGTGAAGCAGAGAGAGTCCTCCAGCAGTTCATTTACATGTGCCAAGAGACACCCAGATAATAAGCATCATGCCTTAACAAAACTGCAAAGGGCTATGCCAGACCAAGTGCTTCTAAAGCTAAAAAGAATGGAAAAACCCATGCAAACAAACAACGCATACAACAAAACAAATAAAACCAACAATACAGAAAACCCACACAACCAATGCTTGACTAACCTGTTCTATTCTCAACATGTCTATGATTTGATCAAACAATGGGGTTCTCAGCAAGTCTCGATGAATTAAGAGAGTTTCCAGAGCATTACAGGCAGCAGGGTATTCACACTTTGAGTCTCTGACTGAGATTTAAGAGCAGATAATTGGTTTTAAAATTTATAAGAAAGATTTTGCACAACGTATTAATTAGCAATTTTGATACTCCAAATACAAATTTCTGTTAAGCCCATGAGATTCAAATCACCCTCTCCCAGCTTACTTATTCTTGTGACCTTCTCAACACTGGCATCCACGTCCACATACACATGGCAGATTCCTTCACTGTGTCCCATCACTGGGATTCCCTTAGCTGCTTTCTGGATATCCTTGACTAGCTGGGATGAACCACGTGGAATGATTAGATCTATTAGTTTATCCAAGCGGCACAAATCTTCTACTTCCTCTCTTGTGTTCACCTGCAAATGGTGTATGGTATGAACTATTAATTCTACCTGTACTTACTCTGCATATCATAGCAAAAACACGGTCAACTTAATTCTAGGCACTCACTAGTTGCACTGCATCTTTGACCCCGTGAATGGAGAGTGCTTCTTGTGTCAGATGATGAAGGATTTGATTGCTGTATGCAGCTTCTTTCCCTCCTTTAAGCAGTAAGCCATTTCCACTGGCTATAGCCAAAGCAGACACCTGTTGGGAAAGAATTAAAAATAAGAGGGGGGTGGAGGGAAAGAAAGTTATCTTCTGTATAAGAAAAATAGAGTAAGGCCAGGATTTTAAAATCCTCTGATTTATTAAAAGTCAATCTACTGTTTTCATTTTATGGTACCAAGAAATTTTTCCAGGTAACAACATATGACTCCAAAAATGAACTCTCTTAGCATTTCAGATGCAAATTTGAGTTTTCAGAATACTATTTGCAAGGGTAAGAATGCAATGAACAAGTTAGAGGACACTCTGGGTACAGGCTCTGACATAAGCTGCACAACAGGAGAAAGAAAAAGGCCAGTAGGAGGAAGAAATTGTATGAGAGACAAGAGACTGGGGTGGAAGCCCAGAGGGGCACACTGGGGCATAGAGGTCATTTGTGAAGAACCTAGTTGGCACCCAGGAACTATTGGCAGACAAAGGAGACTAGCATCTTTCCTTCTACATGAATTCTGCCTAGGATATACTCGCCTTCGCTCTGAAATGGAAAACAACATACAAAAAAATGAATTGGAAGTTTCGTTTCACTTTCATTAAAGTGCTTCTATCCTCACATGCTCCTCAAGCATCTGATTATACAAGATAGTTTTGAGCACCTGCTCAAAAACCTCCATTAATCATCAAAAACAATGCTAATAATGAATTTGTTTTGCTTTGTAAAAATCTACTAGAGTTGCTCAATCAGATTTTCAAAAGTTAGAAACTTAGAAGATCAAGGTGTTTACTCCACCTTAGTTCAGGTCCCATAATTCCATGCATTATTATAGCAATCAGTCATAGCAATATCTCTCTTACACAGCTCTGCAGATGAAAATATTTGCCTGGAAGATGGCCGCCTTGTTCTTGGAATAAGATGAGTGATGCTCACTTCTAGTAAATCATTTGAGATTTTCACCCTTGGAACTTCAGTACTTCAAAACTTAAAACACCATTTTTGCTCCACATCCATCTTACTATGGTTAAGCCTGCCATTTCTGACTTATTGCACATACATGGTATTGGAACTGGAGAGACTACCTTAAAGCCTGAACTTCTGAGCTTTATGTGCTATGCTTAATTTTTATCACACATTTTTAATAGTTAATAATTTCTGTATTAAACAGTTCTGGTTTGATCCTCATCCAATAGTACAGCTGTATACAGCATGGACAGACAAGTGTTCACTAGTAGAAATCTCATGTTGCAAGCTGGCAGAGAAGATACATTATTAGATGCACTAAGAACTGCACCCTTAGAGTGCAAGTTAACTCCTTCTACGTGCTGCACTATCAAAAAAAAAAAAAAAAAAAAATCCTGAATACCGAAAACTACAGAGGCAAACCTTGAAAACACACGTGTAGAAAATAAAAGAGTACCAACAAAACTGATAAGCATCCTAGTAAGAGTCCTTTGAGAGACAAGACTTCTTGCAGACTTCTAATCACACACCATCAGAAATGCATCTTTTTACCAAAGAACTCCCCCAAGTGTAGTATTCTGCCCTCCTTCCATACCTGTGGAAGACAGTCAGGACGAGATTCAAAGATCACAAGAAGGACACCAATAGGCACAGTCACCTGCTCCAACTCTAAGTCTTTTGCTATTCGTGTTCTCCGAATTACCCGGCCAACACTGTCCTGCGAGGATGCTGCAATTTGACGCAGCCCGATAGCCAAGCTATTCAACTTCGATGTAGAGAGAGTGAGTCGTTTCAACAAAGGAAGTGCCAATCTTCCTAGAAGAAAGAAAAATCATGATGAAAATAGGTTTGCCTGTCCGGACTCAAGCAAAACTGATCTAAAGAAGTGGCAAGTCTATGGAAAATTCAGGTACGTTCCACCATCTAGCAAGAAACTACCCAAACAAACAACACAAAGCATCAAATACCATTAAATCTGGCAGCCACAAACAAACTCCTCAGATCAGCCTATGATTTCACATACTGCTATGTTCTCACATAATGTCATTTAAATAATATGCATATGAAGCTATGTTGACATCTACAAAAATAAAGTTTGGCCTATTTCAGGTACTCGAATCTTTTACAGATTTTATCTTTTCAATTCTTCCATAAGGTTGTACAGTAATTGAATCTTTCTGTTTTCACAGTATACAGCATCACAGAATATTCARGGTTGGAAGGGACCTCTAGAGATGGTCTAGTCCAACCTTCCTGCTCAGGCAGGCACACCTAGAGCCAAGAGGCACAGAGTGGCATCCAGGTTTTGAAGACCTCCAGAGAAGGAGACTCCACAACCTCCCTGGGCAGCCTGTTCCACTGCTCTGTCACCCTCACTGTCAGGAAGTTCCTCCTCACCTGGGCATGGAACTTGCTGTGTTTCAGCTTATGCCCACTTCCCCTTGTCCTATCGCTGGCCACCACTGAGAAGAGCTTGTCCCCTTCTTCCCTGCATTCTCCCTTCCTGAACTTATACATGTTAATCATATCCCCTCTCAGCCTTCTYTTCTCCAGRSAAAACAGGCCCAGCTCACTCAGTCTCTCTTCATACGAGAGATGTTCCATTCCCTTAATCATCTTAGTTGCTCTTCTCTGGACCCTCTCCAGAAGCTCCACGTCCCTCTTATACTGGGGTACCCAGAACTGCACACAATACTCCAGGTGCGGCCTCACCAGAGCTGAGTAGAGGGGCAGAATCACTTCCCTTGACCTGCTGGCAACACTCCTCCTGATGCAGGCCAGGATCCCATTGGCCTTCTTGGTCACGAGGGCACACTGCTCACTCATGGTTAACTTGGTGTCAACCAGGACTCCCAGGTCCCTCTCCGTGGAGGTGCTTTCCTGCAGGTCGACCCCTAATCTGTACTGATGCCTGGGGTTATTCCTCCCCAGGAGCAGGACCCTGCACTTGTCCTTATTGAACCTCATGAGGTTCCTCTCTGCCCAACTCTCCAGCCTGTCCAGGTCCCTCTGGATGGCAGCACAGCCCTCCGGCGTGTCGGCCACTCTACCCAGCTTGGTGTCGTCTGCAAACTTGCTCAGGGTGCACTCCATGCCCTTGTCCAGGTGTATAAGAGGAGGAAAGATTCACAGCCTGTTTATGATCTGTAGAGGCCTTGAGACTACTGTGAAGCTGAGAACTAACCCATTATCTGGTTGCAGGGAGTTTGAAGGCGGCTCTGCAGCTGCGGAAACAGGGGCCTTATCTGGTGGTGAGGAGCAACTGAGGAATTTGGAGGCGGCCGTGCCAGAAGGCATGGGGCCAACGAAAACACAGCCGACCTCTAAGCCAGTTTAGAGGTCAAACCTGAGGCGAGGGAGAGGAAGATGATGAAGGCGGGACCCTCATAACGAGACCAGAGCCCCCCACTGGTGGGCTCGCATGCGCACACCGGGGAAAACTGGATAACCAAAAAGGTGGAGCTTTGCCCACCCCTCTGGTACGCCTCCTGACACGTGGTGGCCCTACGTGGCGGGATGCACCAGATATAAAAAATAATCGTGGATCAGAGGAGGAGAAAGACTTCCAACCGAGACCTACGTTGTCTCCGCGGTGGCGCCCGCAAGCTTGGAGCCTGTCAGCCACCTCTTGTCCACGGCAGGGGAATGATCGGTCTCGCTGTCCTGCTGGTAAGTATCCTCTCGTAAGTAATTGCTACGTAGGCGCCTCGTTTCGCAGGTAGTTGCTAAGTAGTCGTCTTGCTTTAGTGTGATGTTAGTGTGAATTGTCCTAAATAAACTAAGGGGTGGATTTTGCTCTCAGTGCGTGTGCTTTCAATTGCCGAGCCCTGAACACATCCAGAACACCAGGTCATTGATGAACAAGCTGAACAGCACCGGGCCCAGCACTGACCCCTGGGGGACACTCCAACTGGACTCGGCCCCGTTTATCACCACCCTCTGAGCTCTGCCATCCAGCCAGCCCTCGATCCACCACACCGTGCACTCATCCAGTCCACTCTCCCGGAGCTTCCGTATGAGGATAGTACGGGAGACCATGTCAAAAGCCTTGCTTAAGTCAAGGTAGACAACATCCATGGCTCTCCCCTCGTCCAGCCAGCTAGTCATCCCATCATAGATGGCTATGAGGTTCGTCAGACATGACTTCACCTTGGTGAATCCATGCTGACTGCTCCTCAACATCTTTTCCTTCATATGCCTGGAGACTCTCTCTAGGATGAACTGCTCCATCACCTTTCCACTGACGGAGGTGAGGCTGACCGGCTTGTAATTGCCCAGCTCCTCCCTCTTTCCCTTTTTGAAGACTGGACTTGAAAACTGGAGTTTTAAAGACAGGAGACTCAAAGCACAGACATAATATAAGTATCTTTGTTCAGACTGGGCAAGAACTGCCTAAGTTTTCTAGTCTAAACATGTTCAGTCAACAAATATGTTCAGTCAATAAATTTACTAGCAGCATCCCTTCTGGCACTTTGATCAGCGTGGCTCCCTGGTGTCTCACACAAATTATTACAATTCACACTGTATGATTTTTTACATCTCCCCAGCAATTAGCTGAGAAGTCTGGATTAGAATAACATAGAAGAATGGGTTTACTCCAAGTCATCTACACAGAACCTCCCTCAATAAGAAGAGAACATGGCTCTTTTTGGAGAGCATTAGTTTAGGTATATAATGTTACCCTCAGGAACCAAACATCTTCACAAACCTAGCAAATGGTCACTTTGTGCAGGACAGTAACAAAAAAAACATTTTTGTTATGTTCCGTTTCCACAATTGGTTTCCCTTGCCAAAAGGGGCATTTTTTTTTCTCAGGGCACTGTTCAATGTACTACAAGACCCCATGAGCTTCTCCGACACATATTAGTTTTCTGTAGCAACACAAACTACAGCTGTTCACAGTATCAGTTCTCAAGGTCTTGAGTTCATTTATCTATGAGAACCATATTACTCCATATCAATGACATAAGCTTCCAATTATGCTCATTTCCTTAGAGGTTCAGGTAAATTCATGATAAAAGGGAAGACCTGTAATATTACCTTTATTTTCAGCCTCTTCCAAGTCTTTTTTGTTTGCCAAGAGAATTTCCTCTCTCTGATCAGTTAGTAAATCAGCAAGACGATAGATAATCTCTGCTCTCTGAAAGAGAAAATTCTTGAACTGTCATTTTACTCAAAATCCAAGCTACTTTAGTTCTAGTCCCTTATAGTTCTTTTCCACTGACCAAATTCTATTACTGTCAGGACTCCAGGAATACTTGTGGACAGATGATTTTTCTAGCCTTCATCACACTGAAAAATGAGTCTGAACAGTAACTCAACCTGCACTTAGCTTTTTTATTTTCTCATTTTCCACACCCAGTCTTCTTGCCTAAACTTTCCAAGTTTTTCCTTTAAAATCACCTTAGGATCTTCACAACAGATGCCTCCTTTTACCTACACTGCTGCAAAACAGTAATTGTCTACACTCCTCTTTTGCATGTACTTGTACATGCAGAAATGAAAGGGACAAAATATTCCAGTCAATTCTTTAGCATCTCTGATCAAAAATAATTTCCACATGATGTTAGATGCTCTTAAAATGCCTAAATTTGTATAAACTCAACATGCAAAATACTTCATAGCTCTGAAACACATCATCTTTCCACTCTTCCACGGCATCCTACAATCCAAATGATAGATATGGTGCACACAATCAAAACATGGCAGAGAGAAGATTTTTGTACTAACGAGCCCATGAAGTCTGTTCTCAGTTTGTGTTTTAAATCTTAACACGCATTCATAGGTTTGTTTAGCAAGACTATATTGTTCTGTCACCTGTTCAGGCTGCAAAGCTGCCAGAGTCCTGCCACCAGTTCGAGCCATTTCACCCTGCTGCTCCACTGTAGGGCCTGCAAAAAGCAAACAAACCCAAAGACATAAAAAGAAATGAACAAAAACACACACACACACACCACACCAAGAATATGGTGCGGCATGCAGACCAAGTTACAGCACCTGTGGAAGTCAGCATTAGTTCTTGCATCTTCTAGCTCTCAAATCAGAGCAGAAAAGCTGGTATAGAGTTTAAAAGGCGTACTCAAGAAGTGAACTGTATACCAAAACAGGAAGAAGTGTATCAGATACAAAAACATTTATATGGTTTCCAAATTTATCCTTTTTAAAGGGAGATGACACAGATTCTGTAAGGTTACCACATCAGAGCCAAAAAAACAAGTGTAACCCAAGAATTAAAAGGAAATGGGAACGGGCAAGAGAATGCCAGGATAACCAAATCTCAGGGAATGGGAAGCTATTGAAAACAAGGAGTCATCTTTTGAAAGGCCTAACTAGTGAACTGAGGATCTAATAAATGATTGCAAAATGGCATGGTATCATACAAAGAATAATGGAAGAATAATGGAATAATGAAGCCAAAAGTCAACCCAAGTAATAGTTTACAAAAAGGAAAAAAAAAAAAAACCAAAAAAAATCTGAAATGATATAGAATAATAGAATGGATTTTGAAATAGAAGTAAAACTCACTGGGTTCACACAGCACATTTCCCATAAGAATTCTGAATTAGCTCATGGATAAAATCATTAAGCTATCTTTATTAACCCTCTCTTGGAGTTGCCAGTAGAATAGATACCTTCAAGGCGACAATTATGACTCTACTTCTATTTAAGAAGTGTCCCAAGAAAATTGCCAAAGCAGGATTCTGAAATCCATCCAAAGAAATATACCGAGAATTGTAAGAACTAGTGGACATATAATTAAGCATGGTATCTACTGGTGTTCTTTGGTGAGATGCTTGTATATAAACAGATGTGGTTGATTACAGGAAAAGTTACAGGAATTTTCGAAGACTGTTTTAGAAGGCAGATGACAAAAAGAGAAACAGTCCTACAAAAAACAACACCTCATTAGTATTAGTACAATTTTTGTAATTATTAAAAAAGACCTAGAGAATAGAAGACACCATTAATAAAACTCCAAATTAGTCCTCTCATCTCATAAATCCAAGGTTTACACGCATCTAGAATGCTGTCAAATTCTGATTCAAATTCTGATTTCCCCCCAACACAGAGATGCTACAATGAAATAAAACTGTTTCATACAAGAGAAATAAAGATGGGCAAATTTTTGCAAGAGTTTCTGTACAAACTAAGGCTAAGAATCATAACCCCAAGACCCCATAGCCACAAACCATGGCTAAGAATCATAACTTCAAGACTGAAAAAAAAAATAGTTAAAAATTTACTTGAAGGCAAATCTGATGCAACACCTTACCAGAACAAACATCTGAGGGTCCAATGCTTCTGTTCCAACTGTAGAAAATACCTTTCAATGGGCATTTGTCAGGCAGGACATGCTTTCCCAGTCACTTTGTAGTCTAGTCAAGTTATTTAAACGCCCAGGAAGTTCCTGCAAGTCAGACATGATACCTCTGCACTCACCTGCAGGTTTTACTTCCGAAAAAAATGTGCCGACTTTTTTGCCATCTACAATGTCTGTGATGACATGACCAGAGATCTTCGGGTGGGTTCCATTTGCAATAACTACAGAGGTGCCTCCTTGGAGGGCCCACAGAGCTGCTTTCACCTGTGGTGAAGGATAAAGACAGGCCCAGAAAATTTACTTGATACTTGAATGCTCATACTTTACAAGAATTCTTGCTCCTCCTTGTTCTTGGTCCTTTATGCTTTCAAAGAGCATTATAGAACTTTCTATAATACAACATCACAAAAGATCATGTACTTGAGCTTTACTTTTCCATCTTTTATTAGCTTTAAATTTTTAGCACATTATGAACACACTTCAAATTTCCCGGTCTGCTTTTTTTTCCCCCAAGACTTCTGCCAATACACTTTGGTCCCATGTTCTTTTTCACAATTATCTTAAAGTAGAAATTCTTCCTAGGACAGAGATCTCATTTTCCTTCTCAAAAACCTCAATTTTCCTGGCAACAATCGGAAGCAATAATTAATGCATTTTAAGTGACTATTTGATTTTATTTTTACCATACAACACCTTCCATGTTCAGGTCCTAAACATGACCAAATATCATAAACATTATTTAATGCCCTTAGCTATCTGACTTAATTCCTTGAAGTTTGACTGGCACAGGCACTTCTCACAGATCTGTTCAAGAGGTGGAGGAATTCTCATTGTTTATAACCCTTTGGTGAAGTTATTAAGCACTCTGAAGAGTCACTCAGGTTTCCATCTGTAAGGGAGAGGGGGTGATGACATAGTCACCCAAGTGCCCAGCGGGAGCAGGCACACAAACACTAGGCACACAGTGGTCAAATTAAAGCTTTTATTACCTCTGCTTCTGCACAGCGTCTCCCCAGTTTCCCGTGGGACGAAGAGAACAACAGGGAGATTCCAGGCACTGCTGAGCACCCGACCACGGCAAGGAGCGGCAGGGGAAGAGGAATCTATGCTCTTATACAACTACTAAGCACACGATCATCCCGTGTTACAATTCAGTTGGTGCTAATAGCAGGTAAACAGCACGTAAGCATCAGATGGTACAATGCATGATAACGAGCGGAACTTGTGTATGCGCTGCATGTGACACAGCCATAAGCCGAGCACAGAGCACAGCACAGCTGGGTGTGCATGCCCAACAACAGTCTGGTCAGTCTCTAACTCCTATCTCCTCGACGTTCTTCTGCATCCTATTCTCTACACCACCCAAGGCTTTTGCTTGCTTTTCCACTTGCTGTTGTTGTTCTCATTGGATTTTTTTTCTTTTGCTTCTATTTTTGCCTGAGAATATCACAACTGTCTTCACAGTCCTTTTAAGTAGGCTATATTTGAAGATTTTTCCATTTTCATTTAACATTTTTTTTATATGGCATGCTTCCCTACTTTTGTTGGTGTTTCAGAGGTGAGTTCTGTAGCATAGTACTTGGGAATCATCTTCAAGGGTAACGACCCCGTCGTTCGAAGCAATTTATACATGAAAAGTAAAAAATAAGATCTATCCAAGAACCAAGTCTAAAAAAGTCTGATGTACAGACAGTTATTTCTGTAGGCATTCCTCTAGCAAGACATGCATGAGTTCCCTTTCTGAACATCAGTGTTAGCATGCTAAAGTTTGTTTAGTCCTTCTAAAGAATGTGAAGTTTACAGCAGGACCATCTTATTAGTTAAATCTCTTGAAAATCTCATGTACTGATTAGTCCTAAGATTGGCCTCTTTCCAAATATCTGAGCCATTACTTAGAGAACTTATGTTGTGAAACCGTAAGATCCCTCTTTGCAACATCTTACTAACTTACACATTTATACAAAAATATCAAAATGTTACCATATGCTGGTGAACTGCCCCTGTTCTCCCTTTTTTTTTTCTTCTTCCTGCCCCATTTAAGATATTATGAGTATTATCCCACTATTATGTTTGTCTCATTTATATTATCACAAAAAACTGCTAGTCACAAGGTCATTCCTCACTTCTATGTCCTCCTGCATGGTTCTGCAACTATGTATCACAGTCTACACTCAGTGAAAAACTACACCTGTGAGATACACCTTTCACACCAGGCTCTTGACCACCACAGGACTTTCAACTGCTCCGTTTTGCTTAAGTTTCACAGAATGCTTAAGGCTGGAAGGGGCCTGTAGGGATCAACTAGTCCAACCTCCCTGCTCAAGCAGGGACACCTAGAGCATGTGGCACAGGTGGCATCCAGGCAAGTTTTGAAGACCTCCAGAAAAGGAGACTCCACAAAAGTTTCACTCTGATAATTAAGATTTGTACTTTAGGCTACTATTTTTTCCTCATATTGACACATCCTTCTCATACTTGAAAGCCCAGAAATGGATACAGCACTCCAAATGCTTCCGCTAAGGTCAAGAAGGGAATAATCACCTCCCTTGAGCTGCCCTTTACCCTCTTCCTAATGCACCTGGGCACATCAGGGACCTAATTTAGTGCAAGGGCACACTGCTGGCCCATTCTGTGCTCTGCTCCATCAGGAGCCCCCAAGTCCTTTGATGCAAAGCTGCTTCCCAGCTAGTCAGCCTCCAGCCCGTACTGGTGCAGGTGTGCAGGACTTTGCAGTTCCCTTTGCTGAGCTTCACAAGGTTACTGGCTGCCTCCGTACACAGTCTGTCACAGTCCTTCTGACTGGCAGGACAATAATCTGCTCTTTCAACCACTTCTCCTTGTTTCTTTCTTTACTATTATTCTTTCTTCCTTTCTTTATTTTTATCTTCTCCCCCCTATAAAGGGGAAACCTTTACTTTTTTTTCCCTTCCCTTTCTCTCCCCTGCCCTCCCAGGATAAGTCAAAGGCTCTGAGCTCCTACCTTGGCTTCCATGCCTCCCATTCCTACTCTGGATTTGGTACCAAATGTCACAGACTGCTGGTCTCCCGGGTAGAATATGTCAATGAGCTTTGCATCATCGGATCCTGGAGGGCTGTCAAAGAGTCCTAAAATAAATAATAAAAATCTGCTAGCCTGCATTCTAAAGTTCAAGAAGAAGCTCTATGGAAACTGCAAAGCTGTATTCCATAACATAGGACGGAAAGCATTCAAGTCCTACAAAATGCAGGGTTCAGTAAAAGTGAAGTGCTAGCAGAAAGGCTGAAGAATTATCAGTTATTCTTTTGGTAAAGTATATCTCAAGAGAAAAAAGAATACTCACACAGTGAATAAAGAATTACAAAGAAAAGCTTGCATACTCTATATGAACAGATATTACAGTGAGGTTAGAGAGAACGCTGGAAACAAGTTAACAGCTTTGCTGTGTCATAAACTAGGATTTACATACACAAGCACATAGACAAACAAGAAAAAGAATCGTCTTCCCCACCAATATCTAAGATAACATGCCTAAATGATGTCTTTTACAATGATAAACTGAGCAATTTGTTTGTTTTAAATCTAACAATTTTATGTAACAATGCTCTGCGTTGAACGACCCTTTCATTTACTCAGCACACAACTTCTAAGCTACCACCACACTTTCCAGAAAGTGTTCTCCCTTTATAGCTTATGGAGGGCAGGACAGATCTTTCTGTAAGCAACACATTGCAGCAGACGAGCAAATGTATTGTTTGAGCTAATTGTTTGGACCACTGCTTTTATTAAATTGTTCTCAGTGTCATTTTAACTACAGACAACGACAATCCAGCTGAATCTGGTAGAAGGAACTGCTTATGGAAAAGCAACTCATTCCTCCTCAAGATCTAAGATGTGGGCTGTATCTCTCAGGATCAACTTCACATTAGGTGCAAATCTAACTCTAAACAAGAGTGAACTGCAACCCCTTTCCAGCATCAATAGATGACAGATTTGCTTCACAAACAGCAAAGGTCACAAGATCAAAACAGTATTAGCTAAAACAGTATCAGAGACAGAAAAGTTAGTGAGCTCCAGGCTTCTGCAAAGTAACATCTATGGCATCTAAGATGATTTTAACAGCATCTAAGCATCTAACATGATTGCCACAGAAAGACAGAACCTGCCTACTGCCAAGTTTTTGGAAATTATTAGAAATAGTTTAGGATAGAAATTTACCTAATGTTCAGATTACGCTCCTGATTCTAAACACAGAACAATGGCTCTGTGTTAGTCACTCATACTACTCATGACTATATCATAAAATCCTGAGTAGTCAGCAGAGGAATCACAGCTTAGAATAAGTCTCAAGTTCACCAGCCCAGACTCAATGATATGGCAGATAGGCTTTGGCGCATGCAACAACATCAGGTATATGCCTGAAGGAGCTATGTATGTGGTACACTGTAACGGTCACTGTAAAGTATGTGAAGTTATCAGCAAAACTCAGGTACAGGTTGGTTCTACTGTCTGCGAGACTTCAAGGTATAATTTTCTCCACCAAGAATTCCCACCTATCTGCTAGTAAATGCAATGCAAGGCATGTCTGACTGCAGAGTAGTGTTGAAACACAGCTCAAAGAGTTCTTCTATATATGAGGAACAACTGAAGGAGTTGGGCTTATTTAGTCTGGGGAAGAGAAGGCTAAGGGGAGAGCCTTATTGCTCTCTACAGCTACCTGAAAGGTACGTTGATCTCTTCTCCAGAATAACCACAGAGAGAACAAGAGGAAATGGCCTCAAGTTCAGGAGGTTCAAGGTAGACATTAGGAAGAATTTCTACATGGAAAGAGTAGTCAAGCATTGGAACAGGCTAACCAGGGATGTGGTGGAGTCACCATTCTTGACAGTGTTCAAGAAACATGTAGATGAGCCACTTAAGGACACAGTTTTGAAGGCATGGTGTTGAAGGGTTTATGTTTGGACTTGATCATAAAGGTCTTTTCCAACCATAAAATTCTGTTACTTCCTTGACATTGAAATTGGCAGAGTATAGATTGTCTCGGTCAAAGAAGGTGAAGAAATGGTTCACAAACCTTCTACATCTGAGAGAACAATCAGGAGATCAGTCTTCATTTCCACAGCCAGTCGTGCTGCCAAACTATCATTATCCTTCACGCTAATCACCTGGAATGCATACACAGATCAGCAAATAAAGCAGGGGACGGAACTAGAAAGTATGTGGCTGTAACATATATCAAGCTCCATCAACACCGTGAAGCCCTTACCAGATGCTTTGCTCACACTCTGCTGAAAACTCCTAGGAAGTGATCTTTGTACAAAAGCAAATATACTTTTGGAATGCTGTAAAGCTGCATCAAAACAAGAGACAGCAGGAGCAGCAGACACATTCATTATCTTAGTGCCCAGCGACAGGACAAGAGGCAATGGGCACAGACTGAGAAATCTTATCTGAACGTAAGAAAACAAACAAACAAACAAAAGAAAACTTTTTTACTGAGAGGTTGCCGAGAAAAGTCATGGAGTCTCCATCATTGGAGATATTTCAAATCCAACTGGAAAATATCCTAGGCAATCTGTTCTATCTATCCCTGCTTTGAGCATGAGAGTTGCTAGATGATCCACATTAGTAATTTCTTCCCCTTCTGCCCTGCTGCAGTTTGTGTAGGCTGCCGATTTTGATATTAGTAAACCAAACATTAATGCTGTACCATTTACAAACAGGATCCACCCCCTTGCAATACTTTACCCACATTTACCCCCTGCAGATCACTATTTGGCTCTGGAGGTGGAACAACAGCATCATTAGTGTTAATTATAGGGACGATATTCATTCTTAGAAGTTCATGCAATGTTCCATTTAAGTTTCGACGCTTTTGCTCATCATGAAAATCCAGGTTGGTAACTAAAATCTGAAAGGAGGGAAAAAATAATATAACCTTAGCCTGCTATCTTCCTTGATAAGAAAGAAAAAAAATATGTATTTAAGTATCATAACAGGTTATTCAAGCATTCTAGCTCACCAGACAAACATAAGCTATAGTTAAAGGATAAAGAATGCAAATAAGAAATGTTCTGTCCACAACATTTTCAGATGTATATGCCTTAACTTCCAGTGGAACCTAGAATGGCCTTTCTCAAGCAGACATATCACAGCAATCTATGGTAATTGCTAGCTGTAGTGGAAACATTTAACTATATCAGTTGTATCATATCACAGTAAGAAGTTTCTCTAAGTGACAATTTTAGAGAATGCAATTAAATTCATTGACAGTGTTTACAAAAGTAACAGAACTGCACTGACTGTAAAATCTTCACAAAATATTTAAGATGAGCACAGTGTATTGTCTTACAGTAGTTCAATATACAGAGTTGTGGCATTCAGCATAGAGGACAGTCATGCTGGGCGTACCACCAGTTACTGGTTAGTTTTGAAGAGCAGATGGACAATCAAGTGGGACAGTTAAGCTAGTTGTGATTTTTAAATCCTCACTTTGGAACACAAGCCTTTTCTTTATTGTTTTTGTAACAATATCTTAATAGACGCGGGGGGGGGGGGGGGGGGGGGGGGGAGAAAGACAACTAAATATAAGCCACACACAAACTCCAAAAATACAAGGCGTTTTGCTCCACCCAGGATTAACTACTAATTATATCTCATTAATAAACCTCAAATACATAAACCTCGAGGTAGGACAGCAATGGAAATTGAAGACTACAGTAACGACAGCAGCATATGAAGCTTGGAAAAAAAAATAGTAATTACAGCACTAACAAGTATCAAGCCAGTCTAAGAAAGAAGGAATCCTTTACCTGCGCTGCACAGATGCTATATTGTGTAAACATGGCTTCATACAGGGCCATGAGTCCACTCTGACCAGCTGCTGCACAGGCTCTGGCCTCCAACACTGGAATTGCCTGCAAAATTAAGAGAACAGCTGTCAGGCAGTGACCTGGGCAGCTTCCACCCAGCATTCAAGGGGAAAAAAAAGGAACTGCTTGCAGCCACTTACCATATCCTTTAGTTGACTCTGGCCTGAGTGAAGTGCTTGCCTCACACTCTGAGAAAGCAAGATCTCATGACGCAATCGCTGTTTTCCAAAAGCTACAGCTCCACTGGTGACAATCATCATCTCTCGGCCCTGATTCTGCAGCATTGACACCTGTAAGTACAAATCACAAGAAACAGGAGCAAGATCACTCCTAGTTCAGCAGGAAGTTTATAGCTTCGTTATGCTTACTGATTCCTGCTGATGCAAGTGTCTGCTTATCTATGGATGTGCACAGCAAGGCAACCACCCTTTAAGATACTCCAGTCCTGCTTCTTGACAAGTTATGAGCTACATCTACAATCTGTAGTAAACTTTTTCATAATATCAGTTTTAATGACGGAGCCATGCTTGAATTTTCACAATATTTATTACATGGTAATACTTCTCTACTTCTTGACCCTCTGCAGATATTGCAGAAGACAGTCACATAGCAGCACCTTCCTCCAAACTTCTTGTTCACCATCCATTCCTAGGGCTGTTACTATACAGTAACTTTATACACTAGAAGAAACTAAATCCAATAATAAACAAAAAGTTTACTCATGTTCCTTTCAAGGAGTGTACAGCCTTTTTTCCTTTTAAAACTCAATGTCTTCAGTGAATTTAATTTTTTACGCATGTTTCTTCCCGGAGAAGACATATCCAACTCCCTCCTTCCCACCAAATGGTCTTCATTTCATTTTGTGCAGCAGAACCAGTCTATGAGTTGATCCTATTAGCTTTTCCTTAAAGTGATGAGGTTTCAAGCCTTCTTAGAGGAACTTTTCAAATGTTGAGGTAATCAAGAAAGCTTCACACTTTCTGTAGACCTCACACTTCAGTGCTGCTTTCCCATAAGGTCAAACTGGTGCCCAAATCTAATCTTACTGCACAAAGTCTCACCGCGCAGAATTTCTCCCTCAAATACTGATCTATCAAGTTACATGGTCTACACTAGCACAGTACATGGTGAGGGAGAAGGGAAAGCCCAGAACACTGAACCAAAAGACCAACAGAGTTTTTTAAGTTTTCTCAACAACTTTTGAAGTTAAAACAAACATTCCATTACATACAGAATTACCTGCTCCACAATGGATGCCAGCCTCCCAAGAGCCAAGCCACACTCATCTCCTCGAGTCACAACAGCACTGCCCAGCTTCACTACAATCCGCTTGGCATGTTTCAGCTCACTGCGGTGCGCAAATGATTTGCCATGCGCACGGCTGAGTGGCATGGTGATGAATGGGATGTTGCTCCAACAACGGATGGATTCATTTCTTGATCTCAAGGTATGGCGAGGGAGATCTATCAATAAAGAAAAAAAGGAAAAAATGCAACAGAAACTTGCTCAAACAACTTTAAATGCTTCATTCAGACCTCTGAGACCTTTACAAGCCACATAACATTTCCTCCCTTCCCATGGCTGAAGCTCACAATATACACTTCTACTCTGCAGTGACTGGGAATGAGAATCCAGCTTTCCAGTCACTGGAAAAAAAGAAAAAAAAAATCTCAACAGTGCTAACTATCTCTAAGGCATAGAAGACAATATCCCATCAGCTTTGCGTTTGGGACTCTAGAGGATCAAACTGAAGAGCACTTTAAAACAGCCCATACAGATTACTGTGGTCAGAAGACCACCAGCTTTAAAAAAAAAAACACTCTCCCCATTGCCTTGCTGGGTACAGCTAGAGATCTCCCTGACAGTAATGCTGCAGAGGCACTTGACTGCTAGGGTGAAGGAAAAAAAAAGGAACAGAGAAAAAAGAAAAGTAGAGCTCTTCAAGATGTATTGCAGATGTTTTCTCATACTACTCAACAGAATAGGCAGAAAAGAAGAGATGGATGATCGACACATGAACTGCTTGTTGTCTTCCTACAGGGTAAATGCTGGAGCACAGACAGTCACACTGCTGCTGAGGTGAGATATGAGGTGTGCCAGGCTAGTATCTTATTTAAAATACTGCAGAGGGAAATGCTTTAGTTCAAATGCCTGCAAAGAACAGTAAGGACAAACCAATCGGCTACCAGCATCGCAGACTAGTCACTATAGTGACAGGTAAGGAATAACTGCAAGGAACAGTTTAAATCTGTTCCAAGAGGTTGGATCTAACACATTAAAGTCCCAATTGAGCTGAAGGTATGAAGGCAATTGAGAAGCAATTTAATATGCTTAAGAAAAAAATTGCAGAGATACAATGAATTGAATCTGAAGAAGAAATTATGCTGGTAGAATTATTCACAATGGAAAACACATCTAATGATATTAGGATGCAACGGAATAAACTATAAAACTTAAAAAGCTACACTGCCTTATTCTCCATCTAGTTCTTTTCATGTCACTCTTCAGAAACTATACTAAGCCAGGTCAAATTGTGGAGAGTCTCAAAAGTATCATTACTGGAAGAAAGAAGAGAACAGTTCAAGTTATTAACAAGATGTCTGTGAGGCTACAGTCTAGGACCAAAAGCGCATCCTAATCAAAGGACGACACCAACATAGTCCTGAAAAGTATCATCTCTGAAGATACAGAGACTCCTTTACAAATCAGTGAACTGAATCATATGCCTTGGTGTTCTGTAATATAATACTCATACATTCATAGATTAAATGAGTATTCTGTATGTTACTTCTGCTAGAGTAAAAGAGGAAATACGAACACAGAGCTACAAAGACGTCAGGGATTTATTTCTGTAAAACACGACTAAATCTATTTTCTTCGCTAAACACACAAAAAAACCCTTAACTGGTTAATCATAAGTGAGGGCTATATTAAGATTGCCCAATTTTATACAAAGTAAAAACGTAATATGGAGATTAGCTTTATTTGCCCCTTGTTTTCATGAGGTAATACTTGTGAATACAAGATGGCCTACAATAAACAGGAAAGAATATAGTTAAAACGAACAGTTCTTTCCAGTATTAAATGTTATTATGCACCATTTGTCTATCCTGCACTGTATGACAAGAATGGAGTAAAACAGCTTACGAGTTTTCAATTCTCGCAGATGGATCTGCGAGATCCAGTAACAGTAGTAAACAGTTAATATTTTTAGACCCACTGACTCTCCTAGAAAAAGAGGGAATCTAGCTATCCCTGCATTCCCTATTTCAGTCTGCTAATGATACACAGAGTGAAGGTGTCTCTCAAGCTAAGACTTTATAGATTACAGAATAATAAAACTGTCATATTCTTAACCCCTGTCTACAGGACATCCATGTATTTACGCTAAGGTTTCCTCTGAGTAGTATCTTTGCACTTTTCTCTAACCCAAGCAAATCTGAGCTTCCCACCTTGCAGTATCTGTTCTACTCAATGTATCTGTGGGCTGGAAATGGGAAGAGAGGGAAGAGGACATCATCAGATTCCATTTTCCAGGAATGCATCAGGTTGAAAAACAAAGAACTTTCACAGTAAGAGTTCTTTTACAACAGAAGTCTTTTATAAAGATGCACATTAGAATGAGAAATATACCCTTCCATGTATGTACTTGCACAATACTTGCTTGTATTACTGACTTAAGGGAGAAAGTAGCAATAAAAAAGTAGAGTTTCACTTGCAGCTCACTCCAAAGCCTGTATATTTTTAATCAAGTTAATGAGGAAATTTTCTTTTCATAATAAGAAAGAACATATGGCAGGCCCAGGCACAAAGTGACCAACATTAGAAACGTGTGCTTTCTCTCATACATACACAAACGAGAAATGGCTGCGATGGCACGTGACGGTAACACAAAGCACCATCCAGGGGAACAGGCAAGAGGGCTCAGAGCAGCTCGACACAACATTTTGAGATGCCTTCTGCCAATCAAGGATATCTGCAAGTTAAAAGGGGGAAAGGGAGGGAGGAAGGAAACTGGTTAAATATCAGCGAACTTCCACCTGTGATCCATCTCCATCCACACACCCTCCTCCCTACATCCAGAAGGGCTCTTCATGGTCTTAATGCAGTGTACTCAGGAAAGGGACAGCCCATTCTCCCAGCTTTGCAGAATTCCCAGGCTACAGTTCAGAGGAACAGGAAGGCCCCTGTTTCCTATCTATTTGGAAAAGAAGAATAATGATCAAGAATAAAACATGCTACCCCCAAAAAATGAAAAGAAGGACTATGAATCAGCACAGCTACAATGGAGAGAAGCCAAAACTTTCTCCAAACTTTCTCCACAGGGAAGCCTAGTTGCAAAAATATATATATAATGAGAAGTTTTAGCATCCACACTTCTCCAGACACTCTACAACAGTACATCTACTACTGCTCTTCTCATAAATCTCAGTCCTACTGCACACAAAATATATGCTGGCTCACTTAAAGCATTCAAATCTCTTTTCTCCCAAACACCCACATGTATTGCTCTCTGAAACTCAGTTTAAGAGATACTATTTATGACCTCAGAAACCACACCTGACTCACAAAGTCCCTAAACAAAAAGTGGTTGAAGGCTGGGACAATATCACTGGGAAGCATTTTAAACACTCTACCTTATACTCTTGCACAGGTATGCACTTTGAACAACTGTAAGAAGTTGACTATATTACACCAATCCTTTCGCACAATCCACTAAAACCGTTCTTACACTAAACCTAGCTTAAAAGGCAGAACTCATTACCACTGTGGCTGTTTCAAAAGCACTAATAAGTTAATTTTCCTTGAACACTATAAAACAGCACATTATTAAGTGATGAAATAGGAGCACATGACACCACCTTCCAATTTATTTGTCATTACCATTTCCCTGGTAAGCAATCAAGTAACTCCGTATGTGGGATACACAATCAGCCATTTCCTGTAGCAGGTCTAGTTGAGGTGATGCATGCAGTATAACAAAGAAAACAGCAGAGATGAGAAAAAAAAAAAAAAAAAAAAAAAAAAAAAACCACCAGTTTTCCTGGGCAATGCTTAAGCTATGAAGACTCTCTTGCCACCTCACTTTCCTTTTTTACAAATTTTTTCATCACATGCTTTCAATATACCTCCTTGCACTATTAGAATACAGAGGTCACAGAGGCAACATTGTAGTCTGTGGTACAGAGAAGACAGAAAAGAAAGAGAAGACAAACTGAGTAGCAACCATACTGAACTGAACGACTGCCATTACAAACACCACGGAAAGGACAGCACCCAGCAGCGTTGGTGGACACGAACACTTGACACAGCTGCTCCGTTACCCCGCATCGCTGCTTTGTTCCTGTGCCTCCTTACAACCCTTGCCAATATGTACACCTTTACATGCAACAAGGTAGCGACCAACAGGCAACAGCTCTCCTGTTCAGGCTGTAAAGTTACACAGCAGAGCATTTTAACAACCTAGGCCAGGTGGGACACTGTAAGTCAACATTCCACCTGGAACCACAGTCGTGACCACCACCAGGACTCCGAGCAGGTGACAGAGCTTAGCAAGCAACCAAACCTTTCTTCTCATAACTGGACAAGCTTAAAAGGGCTGCTGAATGGTACCAAAGTACCCTGCGCCCGTGGAGACTACAGCAAGCCCTCCTGGCGCCCTCTCTTCCAGGTACCTGGCATTTCATGCAACTGCCTCCGGAGCACAGCATATGTTTAAATGGTTTTATTTTGCCAATTATATCTTTTATAAGAAAAAAAAAAACCTGCAATCGGAAGTTGAACTTAGAAATAAGAAGCTTTTCCAGAAGAAACTCTACATTAGAACTAGTTCTCATGAAGAGAAACTTCAAACATAGTCTTTAGTATAGTTCATAAATAACTTTGTTCAAGTTTTACAGAAATTTACACAGAGAGAACAGGCAATTCAAAACAACATATCACGCAACTACTTTTCTACCCAGAATCCATTCCAGTAAGACAGTGGATCACAGTAGTCTGCAAGGCAAGACATGTGCAGCTGTGGAAATATCTGCCATTGACTTGCTAGATGGACTGTTCTAATCCTATCTTCATATCTCAAACCAAAAACAACATTTGTAGAAGTTCTAAACCGTTCTATTTTGTTATACCTTGCACAAAAATAGGTTTATCAACACACACAGGGCTGTACAGGAACAGCACTGTCCTGCACTAGGAGTTCCAGCAGCCTCCCCCATCCTGCACAGGGTTGGGGGATAGGAAGAAAGTGATTCACCCTGTAGCAGGCAGGAAAGCCCATTCCTGCACAGGAAGTTTAACTTAACAATACGAATCTCATACAAATTACTTGTAGTTTTCACTGGAGGTGTCACTCCTGGTCTGAACGCTTAGATGCACCTGAATTTCCATACCTGATCCCGCCTGTTGAAGCCGTGACAAAAGCTTGCTGAGTGAAGCTGCAACTGCACAGGGAGGGAGGAGGCAGCAGGGAGGCAGCCCGGACGCCGCGGCTGCAGCTGATCCGCGGCTCCAGCCGATCCACGGTAGCCAATCCAGCTGTTCCCCTGCACAAGCCACATCAGCTCGGCAGCGCAGGCCCAGCACCCGCCTGCCGGCTGATGTAACCTCCGCCACCCCGACCGCACGCCGTCCCCCCCTCCCCCCGGCACGCACACCGTCCACCCTGCTGCCCCAGCAGATGATGTAACTCTACTCCACGTTGCAGCACAAAATCCACGGCTTTACAGTTAGAGTATTAACAACTGTTTTCTGTCTAGTTCCAGGCCAGTCGAGACGGCCGACCCATCTCCCACATCCAGTTTTCCTTGACCTTGATTCTCCCTATTTTCAACGTCTGAAATCCAATGTGGATAGGAAATGAAAGGACTTACACAGCTCAACTTTTGAAACTGGCTTTATCTCCTCCAGTTCTTTACTTCTCATATTCTCCACTGCACCCTAGACCTTCCCACTGCCTTTGCTCTTCACCTATTTCCCATTCACATTCAATCCTAATTTAGGACAGAAAGCAGCCTTATAGCTCCACTAGTAAATCCACATCACTGCAACTTCTCATCTTCAAAGATACTACAGTTCCCCATTCAACTGCAGAACTATAAGTTCCTATCTATTCCATTCTGTTACTTTCCCATTTGCTTACTGTAAAAAAAAAAAAAAAAAAAAATCCAGCTTCACTAATTATCATGGTTTTAGAGGTCTATAATTGGTCCTTTTTTACCTTTTAGGATCAAAAACCATAATAATCTCAGAAAGTCTCACAACTGCAGAAAAAAAATGGAGAAGGAACAGTAACTGAGTCATAAGGGTAGAGGTGAGAAAAAAATCATTGAAAAAGCTCAAGAACAAGAATTTATGCTCACAATGATGTGTCCCCTCTTCTCTTGTGGTTGGAGAGAACCAAGAAAACACTTGGCTTTTAGGAAAAATAACCTGGTATTGCACCCTGATGAGAGAGGAGGGGGAAGGAAATCAGGAATCAGCAGTTGCTGGCAGATGCCTAAATAAAATACACAGGCAGGACAAAAACTGTTAAAATTTCCTGAATAGTCCTCTAGTTCTCCATCCCTGTGTACGGGCTGGGGCTATTCACCTTCTCCATCCCACTCATGATTTTACACCTGTAATACATCCTCCTCTCTCATTCCTCCTTCCCACATCCCTTTTCCAAGATAGGGCTGGCGGCAATATTCCAAATGCCCAGAGACACATCTAGTACCAGAAATGCCAGTGTTGCCACCCCTCCTCATCCAGGCTTCACCTCCCATCTTCCTCCTAATGCTCAGCTGTTTCACTATAATGTTCTGCTAAAGGTAATTCACTTGACTAATCTCATGAGAACTCATGTCAATAACACATAAAACTTCATTGTCACTAACAAAGCAGTTCAGGATGCCCGATCCCCACTTTCTTCTCATATGACAGCTACTTCATAATTATGATTATTTCTAGCGCTCTTCTTGTACCTTCCCCATATGAGAGGTATACAGCAAATTAGTAAGCGGAAAGAAGCCAGAACTATGCACAAAGTACTAAAATGTTGATGAAATTTGATTTTACACAGTGACACGTTGTGTTGTTGGGGTTTTGTTTGTTTTTGAACTTCTTTTTCTTGTCTGGTAGTTCTAAACCTGCAGTTGGCTTTTTGGAGTATCCAAATAGCTACCGTGAATCCACAATGATTCACAAATATTTCCTTTCCTGAATGCTCCAGAAAAATAGGAAAATGCCATTGCTTTCATGGCCCTAATATTGCAACAAACCACAAAACTGAAAAATGAATAAAGTTAAACATGTGAGATGCTCACTCTGCTACCAAATGCATTTCTTGGAAGAACTTGGGCAAAGAATACCTTGCGGTAAATACAATATCAGAACAGTACACAAGTTAGAGAAAAAAAGAAAGCAAGGGAAAAAAAGCAAGGGAAAAAAAGCAAGGGAAAAAAAGCAAGGGAAAAAAAGCAAGGGAAAAAAAGCAAGGGAAAAAAAGCAAGGGA